ATTCAGTGTTCCATGTTAATAGGTTATGATCTACAATGTCTCTGTTGGACCTTGGTATATACTATTGAATGTATTTTTTTTTATTTCACTGCAGGCACTGTATACATTGTTTAGTTTTGTCATAAGAAGAATAGTCATATGAGGATTCATCTTACCATTGTGACTGCAAATGCCTGTCTGCTTTATCTGTTACTGTCACCTTTATCACTACATTATGTATACCACCATATGGCAACAACTCTTCTCATGATTCTGTTATTAACAAATGAAATGCTGTGCATGTACTTGTTAGCATATATGCAGAAGTGCATTATATTGCCAGGATGTATTGTATAGAGAAACAAATGAGGCTGCCAGCAAGTATGAATGTTGAAGTACATGAGGTTGCCCATGTGTTTGTGGAAGTACATGAAGTTGCCTAGTATGTATGTAGGAAGTACATGAAGTTGCTAGTACGTATGTAGGAAGTACATGAAGTTGTTAGTACGTATGTAGGAAGTACATGAATTCTAGTCATATGTAGTAAGTACATGAATTGAGTACGTTGTAGGAAGTACATGAAGTTGCTAGTACATATGTAGGAAGTACATGAAGTTGCTAGTACGTATGTAGGAAGTACATGAAGTTGTTAGTACGTATGTAGGAAGTACATGAAGTTGCTAGTACATATGTAGGAAGTACATGAAGTTGCTAGTACGTATGTAGGAAGTACATGAAGTTAGTCTATAGGCAGAAGTATACGTATGTAGGAAGTACATGAAGTTGCCAGTACGTATGTAGGAAGTACATGAAGTTGCTAGTACGTATGTAGAAATATGACAGGTCTGTTATGTACTGTATTTCATGAAATGTAGGTCATTCAATTCAACAAGTGATGAATTATTATTATAATCAAGAGGGAAGCACTAAACCCGTAGGATTATACAGTGCCTGTGGGGGTGGATGGAAGGTATTCAGACTTAATTTGGGGAACTGGAGCACAGATCCAGTTCCCTAGATCAAGAGCCCCTCACCAGCATCAAGGAACCTTCCTTGAGAGGAACAAGTGATGAAAATTCCATACCCCTGTCTGCTAATTATTACTTGGTCTCTGACCAGTCAAACTGTTGGTGATTGTAGTAGCATGGCTAGTTTTATTTCATATTTTACAAGATTTCTAATGTTAGTATTTCTATTTTCAAATCAAATTATTAATAAAAAATTGCAGATTTTTATTATTGCCAATATGAACATTTTTCTAGTTATAGATTTCTTTGATACTGGGAAGTGTTTGGCTCAGGATTACACTTCTAAAAAAATTTTGTCTTTATTTACTATTTATATTTGAAACATCTAGTCCTTTCATACTTCACTAATGAAAGGCATGTTAACCCTTTGAGGGTCAGTCACATGTACGGCATTGCAGCCAGGGTCGGTCATGTACTTTTTTTTTTTTTTTTTAACAAGTTGGCTGTCTCTCGAGGCAGTGACCCAAAAAGAAAGAAAAAATCCCAAAAAAGAAAATACTTTCATTATCATTCAACACTTTCACCTCACTCGTACATAATCACTGTTTTTGCAGAGGTGCCCAGAACACAACAGTTTAGAAGCATATACATATATACACAATACAGTGGACCCTCAGCTAATGATATTAATTCGTTCCTGAAAGCTCACTGTTAGCTGAGATTATCGTTAGCTGAATTAATTTTCCCCATAAGAAATAATGGAAATCAAATTAATCCGTGCAAGACACCACAAAGTATGAAAAAAAAAATTTTTTACCACATGAAATATTAATTTTAATACACACAAACTGACACTTACCTTTATTGAAGATCTGGTGATGATTGATGGGATGGGAGGGAGGGGAGAGTATGGAAGTTATTAATGTTTAGAAGGGGAATCCCCTTCCATTAGGACTTTAGGTAGCACATCCTTTTCTGAGGTTACTTCCCTTCTTCTTTTAATGCCACTAGGACCAGCTGACCATGGTGCAGCAACAGCTGACCGTGGTGCAGCAACAACTGACTGTGGTGCAGCAACAGCTGACTTTGGTGCAGCAGCAGCTGACCGTGGTGCAGCAACAGATGATGGTGGTGTAGCAGCAACTGACTGTGGTGCAGCAGCAGCTGACTGTGGTGCAGCAGCAGCTGACTGTGGTGCAGCAGCAGCTGACTGTGGTGAAACAGCAGCTCACTGTGGTTCAGCAACAGCTGACTGGTGCAGCAACAGCTGACCATGGTGCAGCAACAGCTGACTTTGGTGCTGCAGCAGCTGACCATGGTGCAGCAACAGATGATGGTGGTGTAGCAGCAGCTGACTGTGGTGCAGCAGCTCACCGTGGTGCAGCAACAGATGACAGTGGTGTAGCAGCAGCTGACCGTGGTGCAGCAACAGCTGATGGTGGTGTAGCAGCAGCTGACTGTGGTGCAGCAGCAGCTGACCATGGTGCAACAGCAGCTGACCGTGGTGCAACAGCAGCTGACCGTGGTTCAGCAACAGCTGACTGGTGCAGCAACAGCTGACTGTGGTGCAGCAACAGCTGACCGTGGTACGATAGTACATATTTCTCACCCTTTTTACCACAGGGTTGGCACTAGAAGCTTTCTTTGGGCCCATGGTGGCTTATTTAGCAGTTACAAGCACTATAAACAATGGAATAATACAAAATGTATCGAATGTATGCATGCAACCGGCCACCCTGGCTTGTAAACAATGACGGCAGGGCTGGATGGACAGGTTCGGGAAGAGTCATGTTGGTCAGAAACAGCTGATGGTGGTGCAGCAGCAGCTGACCTGTGGTGCAGCAGCAGCTGACCGTGGTGCAGCAAAGCTCACTGGTGCAGCAACAGCTGACTGGTGCAGCAACAGCTGACGGTGGTGCAGCAGCAGCTGACCATGGTTCAGCAACAGCTGACTGTGGTGCAGCAACAGCTGACGATGGTGCAGCAGCAGCTGACCGTGGTACGATAGTACATATTTCCCACCCTTTTTACATATGATCGCTTGAGAGATGGTATCTCCTATCTGTTTTTCGTTTATCCACTTCATTTCCATAGTAATTTTCACCTTTTCTACCGCACGGTTGGCACTAGAAGCTTTCTTGGGGCCCATGGTGACTTATTTTGCAGGTATAATCACTAAAAACGCTGTGATATTAAATGTTCCGATTGTATGCATGGATGCGACTGCACTGGCTGGCTTGTAAACGCTGGCACCCACGGGACAACTGAGGTGTGCTCAGGCCACACGTGGACGCGTCTCGAACGAATCGCGTTGGGCGAGTTTTTTAGCGTTAGCTGAGGCAAAAATTTTGCGTTAAAATGTATCATTAGCTGGATTTAATGTTAGCTGATGCCATCGTTAGCTGAGGGTCCACTGTATATCCCTCCAAACTGCCAATATCCCAAACCCCTCCTTTAACCCCTTGACTGTCGAAACCCCAAATCCTGAGGTGTCTCCTGGTGTCAAAAAAATTTCGAAAAAAAAAAAAGTCTCGTGAAATGATAGAGAATCTTTTCCTGATGGTAATGACACCAAAAGAACGAAATTTGATGGAAAACTTACGGAATTACGCTCTCGCGAAGTTAGCAACCTCGGCGATATTTACGAATTGACGACTTCGCCCACTTTGAGCCCTATTTTCGGCTAATTCCATTGTTTCAGTCAACCAAACTCATAGCTATATCTTTAGAACTCCATTTGTTCTATCGATTGAGTACATTTTTATTGATAGGGTTTTGAAAAAAGTGAATGCTAGGGCATTTTCATTCATTTTCATAGAGTAATACAGTGGGAGTTGTCATGGTTGGTTCTGGGTGATGACTTTGCTTTTCAGAAATTCTGAAGAGAGGTTGCAAAGGTTGATGGGTAAATTTGAGAGTGTATGTAAATGAAGGAAATTAAAAGTGAACATAAGAAGGAACATGGTGATGAGAGTAATAAAATATTTAGGTAATGAAAGATGGGATATTAGGTTGGAAGGAATGAGTATGGAGGAAGTGAATGTGTTCAGATATTTGGGAGTATACTTGACAGTAGACAGGTCTATGAAAGACAAGGTGAACCATAGAATTGATGAGGGGAAAAATGGTGGATGGTGTACTGAGGAATCTGTGAAGACAATGTTATCCATGGAAGCAAAAGGGAAATGCATCAGAGTATAGTGGTACTAGCACTCTTATGTAGATGTGCAGTGTAGGTTTTAAATGTTGCAGTGAGGAGGAGGCTGGAGGTAGTGAGATGTCATGCCTGAGGGCAATCTGTGGTGTATCACACAAAGAATTAGTAGTATGGAGATTAGAAGGAGATGAAGGGTTACTAAAAATGTTATCCAGAGGTCTGAGGATGGGTTATTGAGATCATTTGGACATTAGGAGAGGACAGAGCAAAACAGGATGACTTCGAGGGTACATAAATCTGAGTTGGAAGGAAGGCAGGGCTATGGTTTGTCCTAAGAGGGTGGAGGTAGGGGGTAAAGGTGGTTTTGTATGCAAGAGGCTTGGATATCCAACAGAAGTGTGTGAGCTTGTTAGATAGTGAATGGAGACAAGTGGTTTTTATGGCCTGAATTGTGTTGGGCATGAGCAAGGTAACATTTATGAATGAATTTAAGGAAATTGATAAGCTAGACTCGAGTCCTGGAGGTGGAAAGTACAGTGCATGCACTCTGAAGGATGGGTGGGGTTACTGCAGTTTGGAGGGGCATCTGCGCTGCAATGCCAGTGTGCTTCTGACAAGACGGTGATAGAGTGTTTTTTTGTTTTTGGGGGGAGGGCTCACTTTCTTGGTGGGAGACAACCAGTGTGTTAAAAAAAAAAAAAGGCTTGCAACCAGTAGAGAGTAACCAGCAACAGCCAACATATGCAGGGCTAGGAGATGAGACGAGACCCCTACAACCATAAATAGGCGAGTACAGTATGAAGGAAGCCCACTGTATCCCAATCTTTTAATACTGTAGCTGCACCTAGACACCAGGTCCTGGCCACACAAGCATAACATTGCCTGCTGCACCATAGGGAGACTGGCGTCTGGCATACAAGACTGATGAAAATGGACTGGTGGAGGGTCATGCCTATACGGTCTCTGGCGTGGCCAGTGTTATACACGAGAAGCTGGGTATCGTGAGGCTTGTCCGTGTGAGGAACCCTTGGGCCAGTGGCGCCGAGTGGAATGGTGACTGGTGTGACAGGTGAGTGGGCTGACATGTGAGTAGGTTAGCCTGACTACACCCCTTTTGCCTACCCTTCCTCCTCAATAACCCCTGCCTCCCCACACCCCACTTACCCACTCTCCCCCTCTATAACCCCTCTCCCTCCATTAACTCTTTCCTCTTCTTATCCCACTAATGCCTCCCTCCCACCCTCAATACCTCCTTCCCCCTCACAGCCCACTCCACTAACTACCTCTTCTTTACACTCCACTAACTCCTTCCCCACATCTTACTAGAACTTTCCTGTCTCCCATTAACTACTTCCCATAACCCACTAACACTTTCCATGCCTCGGTAATGCTGTTCCACACCAACTAACCTCTCTCTGCACCCCCACTAACCTCCTCCTTTCCTCTCCATACCCCATTAACCACTTCTTCCCTCTTCACACCCCACTAGCACACCTCTTTAACTTTTCCCTCCCCCACAAGCACCAAAAATTTCTCATTATACCCTCCCCCTACAGTGATGACAAGTGGGATGGGGTGTCAGTGTCACAACTGAGTAAATTGGGACGGACCCAGCAGGAGGACGGAGAGTTCTGGATGAGCTACCAAGACTGGTGTAATCAGTTTGAGGAAGTCTCTGTTTGTACCATTGGTCCTGACTTCGATCACAATGGTACAGTGGACCGCATTGGTCAGGTGAGTTTGAGGGAGCCAGGTGAGTGAAGGGAACTAGGCAAGGGACAGTGTTGTAGTGGTGGAGTGACACTGGGGAGAGAGTTGTGATGAGGAAACCAATTCAGGGAGCATATGTGATGAGGAATGGTGTGGTGTGCAATGTAGAAAGGAGAGTATGGTGAGGAGCAGGTGAGGGAGAGAGAAGGTGTAGTGAGAAGGGCAGGTGAGTTTATTATAATTATTATTATTATTTAGGGGAGGGACTAAACCTGTAGTAGTCATATATTGCCTGGAGAAATAGGAGGCAGTCAACTTCAGTCCAAGGAGAGGGAGAAATCTAATTCCTTGATTCAAGAATCCCTCACCAATATCAAGAAACCTCTTGAGTAGTGGAGAAAGTTTTAATGGAGTAAAGTAGGCAAGACAGAGGGTTGTGGTGGAGGGAGCCATGCAAAGCCACTCAACTAGCACTAACTACCCAACAGGTTCAGGCCATCAAGGGTGAGTGGGTGGTTGGTGTGAGCGCTGGAGGCAGCAGGAATGACTTTGACAAATTTGCAACCAACCCACAGTACCTGCTGACCATTACTGACCCAGGTGAATCACTAGCCCATGTTAACTCTGCTTACAGCACCACTGCTTTTCATCAAGTTTATTCTAAACTTTCTTCCCTCTTTCTCATTCTATTAAGTTGTTAAGCTTGTTTTTTAGACATGACACACTGCTAGTGTGTGAACAAGGTAACATTTACGAAGGGATTCAGGAAACCCAGTTAGCCAGACTTGAGTCCTGGAGGTGGGAAGTACAGTGCCTGCATGCTGAAGGAAGGGTGGGGATATTGCAGTTTGGAGGGGCATTTGATATGTACTGTTGGTGTGCTTCTGGCAAGATAGTGATGGAGTGAGCAATGGTGAAAGTGTTCTGTTTCAGGTCAACCTACCTCAATGGGAGATGGCAAGTATTTAAAAAAAAAAAAAAAAAAAAAGACAATCCTGGATTTAACAACTTAGTCTTGTTAAATCCGAAAACTGTTCATTACTGCTAAAATCATGGAAACTGTTCTAGGAATTCAGCTGTAACTGAAAACTGGCTTTGACACCCCATTTCCCATTAGTCAGTTAAATCGAGGGGTCACTGTATTTTGCATTATTTTTTCAGACGGCACTGCAAGAGTAATGCTCTGGCAGTACATAGGCAGGGTGTCAATTTCTTTTTCAGTGTCTAAAATTTGTATTAATATCCATTATTCAGTTAGGACAGTTAACAAAAACACTTGAGTCTTCTGTTATTGATTGAACTGCTATACATAAGTAATGCTATTATTTCAGATTTTTTATTATTTAGTTGTCCTCAGTATATATACCTCCAAGTAGCAGCTAAATTTTGCATACAATAAAATGTATATAGGTTTCCAATTTTTTAAATTACTTTTTTTGTTCCTTTTGAAGTTTCTTCATCTGATACATTTTTCTTCCAACTACAATTTCACACTGCCACAATCAGTACCTCCATTATTGAAGTTAAAGAAGAAAAAAAGCACAATACCATTACTTGAACAAAACACAAATTACCTGCACATAGGAGAAAGGAGCTTATAATGATGTTTCGGTCCGACTTGGACCAATATGTCATCGTAAGCTCCTCTCTCTCCTGTGTGGGTTATTTGTCTATTATTGAGGTTAAATTTACTAAAATTCCTGCACTTTTTGTTGTTTCCTTGGTTTGCAGCAGGATAATATAATAATAATTATTTACTACAAATACATGTACAATGTATACAGGCCTAGCTGACATCAATGACATACTACTATATAGAAAGCCCCTTGTTAAGCAGAGCATTTCAGGCAAATTAGGTCAGTTTTGTCCCAGGATGCAACTCGCACGAGTTGACTAACACCAAGGTATCCATTTTACTGATGGGTGAACGTCTATAGACAACCAGTGCAAGGAAACGCATCCGATGTTTCCACTCCTTCACTAAAGATAAGCACTGTATGCCCCTGGTAGATTTAGCACTTAGTTTTGATAATAATAATGTTAAAAATAAAAAAAAAATAATGGACCAAAAAAATTTTTGTGTGAGGAATGGACTTAAATCCTTAAACTGCCCAAATGTAGATCTATGTTCATGTGCATAGTGCTCTGACCTTATTTTTTTTACATTTAAGAGCATGTAAAAAAAAAAGTAGATCTACATTTGGAGCACATAGATCTACATTTGGACAGTTTAAGGGTTAAATGATGCAGTGAGGAGGCTAGGTCAGTGGAGATGTCTCCTTTGAGAACATTTTAAAAAATCTGAAGGAAATGAGAGTGGATTGGGAATTACTGTACTATTGAAAAGGCATAGACTAGGAGCAAAGTGACACATTATAAAATATATAGGAGTTGCAGGGATGTTAGGGAGCACTTTTTCTGTTTCAGGGTAGTAAAAAATTAAATGAACCAGATATGGGAATGGCAGAAGCAAACTCGAAACACAGTTTGAAATAATGATGGGGCTTAAATAACCAAAAACCAGTAATTCCTGTCATAGAAGCTTAAAAAGTAATATCAGGTATAAAACTTGACCTCTGCAAATACAAACTGGTAAGGAAAGTGCAGTGGTATCCCTGATTCTTCCACAGACACAGAGGAGAGTGGGGAGGGAAGGTGCAGCATACTGGTGGGTCTGATGCAAGAGCACAGACGCTCACATAGGCACACCTCTGTTAAGATGCTCCAGATTGGCTTTGTCATCTACAAGGTAAGTAAAAAGCCTTAATAATAGGGAACTGAGAAATGATGAATTCTATAGGATGAGTTAGCAGTAAATTGATGAGACATGAATGTATGGTGGTTTCTACACTGTTAAGTGAATGGTAGATAATGGGTTTGAAATAGGCTCAGCATACAGTTCCTGGGAAATAACTAATGGATACTGAGAGTGGGCAAATAGTGAGGCACTGATGAACTCTTGCAATTTCAGAAATGATTACAAGTGTAGCTAACAACCCTGATCAGTAAATCTTGGTGTTATTGGCAGACTCAGCATCCAAAGTGCCGTCTGTCACCTGCCCACTTCTGCCACAGCTATGAGGAAGGCACCTCTGGTACCTACATAAACTTTCGAGAAGTGCTGGCCCGCATGGAACTTGAACCTGGCCACTATGTCATTATTCCTGCCACCTTTCTCCCAGACTGTCCAGGACACTTCATGGTCAGGGTATATTCCCCAAAGGCATTCCAACTTAAGAAGATTACCTAATGTCTCACTTAGCTTCCATTAGTGGAGGTCATACATGTAAAAATTGAGCATGAAATTTAAAGGCCTTTGACTTAAAAAATACTTAGAATAAAACTGTGAAAGTGTTGGAAATCATTAAATGGTAACTTACAATTAACTTGAAGCCTTTGGTATTAATATTGCTTATTATTTTTGTGGAGAATTTAGACAAATATTACTTGTACAAATTTACAGAAGCCTTAGACCTCATTAATACCATATGACTCATGTGTGTTTGAATATAATAATTATAAACTGTGTATGTCATGGACCTGAATAAAAGCTACACAAAATGTACTGAGGCATAAACTTTATCAATTCCTAAGATAAACTTGTGGAGGCTATGAACCACACAAATAGTTTTAACCCCTTACCTGGTGAGGGGCTCTTAATCTGGGGAATTGGATCTGTGCTCCAGTTCCCTGAATTAAGCCTGAATACCTTCCACATCTCCCCCACAGGTGCTACATCCTACATCAAGGGGGAGTGCTAAATCCTACGGATTTAGCGCTCCCCCTTGATTATAATAATAATAAAAATATGTTCTTACCGCTAGCACTCCAAATGTAGAAGTTTTATTTTTCCTGCCTTTAAATTGAGCGTGATCGACCTAAGAGGCCTTGACATGAGAGAATGGGTCTATGCACTCTGCATAGTATGAAAAAATTGGAGACCCTGTGGTACCGCATGGTAGCACCAGTTAGTTTCGGCATCAACTTGGGTCATCATCATGGCAAACCCCCTAGATTCACTCATGCCTTGTCATATTACCACTCTCTTATTCAAGGAAAGTGATATAGAACCCAAGTTTAGTGGATCCGAGACAGCTGTGGAATTAATGCAAATATGGATGAAAATCTAAATGACCCTCAGCTCATCACCTCTGGGGGTGGCTAGTGTGGCCACACCACACCCTCAGCCAAGCACCTCTAGGGTGGCCAGTGTGGCCACACCAGACCCTCAGCCCAGCACCTCTGGTATTATTAAAGAGGCAACCATGCAAGCAGAAATTATAATTTTCTCTATTTTGGTGATGATAGTGAAAGTGCTATAAGTGATGATGAGATATATTTTATGCCCTTAGAGGACTCTTCAAGTGACAGCAATATACATTATTCCCCAGTGAAGCACACCTATATGTGCCAGTGCCTATATTCAGTCAGTGTGCCATATGTAATCCCTGAGGGTCATGGGAGGTCATGATCGAAAACCCCGGCCACTAACAGTGATATTGATCATGAAGGGGAATGTGCAGGATGGAGGAGGAGGTGGTGGGTGGCATGATGACTGGGCAACATGGCAAAGTAGGTGGGCAGAGGACTGCCTGGCACCCCTGTCAACCATGTGCTGCCTCTACTCCTGTCCCTCCTCCTGCTCCCCCACACCCGATGCCACAGGTTCACCCTGCACTATCAGACCATGAATGGAACTGGACAGAAAGTACAACATTCATGCCACATCCTTTCAATTTTGATGCCAGTGGAAGTGGCAGCCTCCAAGAATGTCCCATCACGAGAGTTCTGACAAGCCCAAAATGAACCTGATCATCAACCAGATGAACAACTATTACCATTATATAATTAGAATCATCATGGCCACACAGGTGGAAAGATACGATTGTGGCCGAAATGTATTTATTCCTTGGCACTGTCATGCTTATGCCTTATATGTGTAAGTACAATATAGCACAGTACTGGTCCATGGACTACTTCCTCAGTACTCCAGTCTTCTGTGACCTTCCCTGCAACAGATTCATGCTGTTGCTATGAATGTTGCACTTCTCAGACAGGAATAGGCCCAACAGAAATGACCTACTATACAAAATCCATGAAGTGTTCATGTATCTGAAGCAAAAATTCAGTGCCTACATTTATCTATTCAAGAATGTTGTTGCCTACAAGTCCTTGATTCTGTTCAAGGGATGACTGTCATTCCAACAATATATACCAAGCAAACATAATCACTTTGGTATAAAACTTTTTGCTGTGTGACTGTGAGACTACATAGTGTTGGATGTAATTGTCTACGTGGAGAAATACACTCGATGATGCCAGGCGTATGTTGGGCATTTCCGGTGATGTTGTTCGCAAGATGATGGGGCCATACCTTGGCAAGGGTCATACAGACGAATGCATCTGGTTGATACACATTCATTCCCATGTCTGTGAATCTTAAACCATAAAAGTAGAATAAGTAAAGAGCAACACTCTCATTCTCATGTAACACACCATTTTTAAAAGGAATACAAAAGGAATAATTTTCTACAGTTACCCCCAGTAATACTATTCTTTCTTTCTTTCAACACACCGGCCGTATCCCACCGAGGCGGGGTGGCCCAAAAGGAAAAACGAAAGTTTCTCCTTTCAAATTTAGTAATACAGTGGACCCCCGCATACCGTTGGCCTTACATAACGTTAAATCCGCATACCGATACATTTTATCGCTAAGATTTTGCCTCGCATACCGCTAAAAAACCTGCTTAACGCTGTTCGTCCGAGACGCGTCTAATGTGCGGCCTTAGCCAGCCTCACATGTTCCGCCGGTGGCATTGTTTACCAGCCAGCCTCCGCGGTAACATCCAAGCATACAATCGAAACATTTCGTATTATTACAGTGTTTTTGGTGATTTTATCTGCAAAATAAGTGACCATGGGCCCCAAGAAAGCTTCTAGTGCCAACCCTACAGGAATAAGGGTGAGAATTACTATAGAGATGAAGAAAGAGATCATTGATAAGTATGAAAGTGGAGTGCGTGTCTCCGAGCTGGCCAGGTTGTCAGCCAGTCAACCATCGCTACTATTGTGGGCAACGAAAAGGCAATCAAGGAAGCTGTTCTTGCCAAAGGTTCAACTGTGTTTTCGAAACAGAGATCGCAAGTGATGGAAGATGTTGAGAGACTCTTATTGGTGTGGATAAATGAAAAACAGATAGCAGGAGATAGCATCTCTCAAGTGATCATAAGTGAAAAGGCTAGGAAGTTGCATCAGGATTTAATTAAAAAAATGCCTGCAACTAGTGATGATGTGAGTGAATTTAAGGCCAGCAAAGGTTGGTTTGAGAGATTTAAGAAGCGTAGTGGCATACATAGTGTGATAAGCATGGTGAGGCTGCCAGTTCGGACCACAAAGCAGCTGAAAAATAATGTGCAGGAATTCAAGGAGTACATAGAAAGTGAAGGACTGAAACCTGAACAAGTGTTTAATTGTGATGAAACAGGCCTGTTTTGGAAGAAAAATGCCAAGCAGGACCTACATTACTCAGGAGGAAAAGGCACTCCCAGGACATAAGCCTATGAAAGACAGGCTTACTCTGTTGATGTGTTCCAATGCTACTGGTGATTGCCAAAGTGAAGCCTTTATTAGTGTATCACTCAGAAACTCCCAGAGCGTTCAGACAAAAGAATATCCTCAAGGCTAATTTGTGTGTGCTGTGGAGGGCAAACAGTAAGGCATGGGTCACTAGGACTTTTTCTATGATGGTTACACCATGCATTTGCCCCCATGTGAAAGATTACCTAACTGAAAAGAAATTAGACCTTAAGTGCCTCTTGGTGTTAGACAATGCCCCTGGTCATCCTACAGACGTGGCAGAGCGACTTTATGGGGACATGAGGTTCATTAAGGTGAAGTTTTTGCTCCCAATACCACTCCTCTCCTGCAGCCCATGGACCAGCAGGTTATTGCAAACTTCAAAAAACTGTATGCAAAAGCTCTGTTTGAAAGGTGCTTTGTAGTGACCTCAGAAACTCAACTGACTCTAAGAGAGTTTTGGAGAGATCACTTTAATATCCTCAATTGTGTAAACCTTATAGGTAAGGCTTGGGAGGGAGTGACTAAGAGGACCTTGAACTCTGCTTGGAAGAAACTGTGGCCAGAATGTGTAGACCAAAGGGATTTTGAAGGGTTTCAGGCTAACCCTGAGAGGAGTATGCCAGTTGAGGAATCCATTGTGGCATTGGGAAAGTCCTTGGGGTTGGAGGTTAGTGGGGATGATGTGGAAGAGTTGGTGGAGGAGGACAATGAAGAACTAGCCACTGATGAGCTGCTAGATCAACTTCAACAGCAAGAGGCCAGACCTGAGGAAACTGGTTCGGAGGAGGGGAGAGAGAAATTGAAGAAGTTGCCTACTACAAAGATTAAGGAAATCTGTGCAATGTGGCTGAAAGTGCAAACCTTTATGGATGAAAATTGCCCTCACACAGCTATTGCAAGCCGTGCTGGTGACTATTACACTGACAATGTTGTGAAACACTTTAGGGAAGTCATAAAGGACCGAGAGGTACAGGCCACTATGGACAGATACATTGTGCGACAGAAGTCCAGTGACTCTGAAGCTGGTCCTAGTGGCATTAAAAGAAGGGAAGTAACCCCAAAAAAGGACTTTGACACCTCAAGTCTTAATGGAAGGGGATTCCCCTTCTAAACATAAGACTCTCTCCTCCTCCCATCCCATCAATCATCACCAGATCTTCAATAAAGGTAAGTGTCATGTAATTGTGCATGCCTTTTTCAGTTTGTGTGTATTAAAATTAATATTTCATGTGGTAAAAATGTTTTTTTTCATACTTTGGGGTGTCTTGCACGGATTAATTTGATTTCCATTATTTCTTATGGGAAAAATTCATTCGCATAACGATAATTTCGCATAACAATGAGCTCTCATGAACGGATTAATATCGTTATGCGGGGGTCCACTGTATATACAGGAGAAGGGGTTACTAGCCCCTTGCTCCCGGCATTAGTAATACTATTGTGTACACATTTTTTGTGTTCAACTAGAGAAAACATTATTCTTTCCAACGCCCTAACAAGACTGGAAAAACATCTCATTTATGTTACTTTATTTTACTTTAGGTGTATTTATCATGTTTATATGTTACTTAGCATATTTATTATATAATTTTGAAAAAAATATCATAGATGGCCTGATGAAAATGTTTATATTAACGTAATATATGATATTTAACACACTTCAGAGTGCTTATTATTATTCGTATCATTAATATGGCATCTTCAAGACTAATAAGACATTCTTAGTGATTTTAACATGTACCTGCATGCCAGCACAGTAAGTTTATTTAGGTACAGGTACACAAGTACAGTGGACCCTCATTTTTCGTAATTAATCCATTCAAAAGAGTGTGACTATTATCAAAATTGACGATTTGCGAATCCATTTTCCCCATGAGAAATAATGTAAATCCAATTAATTCATTCCAGATACCCAGAAGTATCAACAAAAAAATTTTTTTTTACCTTAACCC